GGCGAGGCCGTTGCACCTGAAGGCAGCCCCAAGCTTGGCCCCCGCTCGCCTCAGCTGCATGCAACGAGACGCCTTCACCGCCAGGCGCCCTGGCCTCCCCCGAAGCACCCCCCACGAGGCCCCGCCGCCGAGCGCGAAGTGAATCCCCTGGTTCTTGGCCTCACGGCGCAACCTGAAGCCCCACTTCCTGCGGCGGTGGGCCGTCCTCTTGCCAGCCCCGCCGTCGCTGAACACGATCGCCCCTTTGGTGGCCGAGATAATGAAGCCGTGCTCCTCCAGCCTCTGGCAAAGCCACCTGGCCGCGCCGAAGATGCCGAACTCCCCGTACCTCAGCCGACCGTAGACCACCAAGGTGGCGTCGTCCACGACCAGGCAGGCACGGACGTTCAGCCAGCTCTGCATGAGAAGGTCCATGGCCGAGAGGAGCATGACCTTCAGCAGGGTCGCGGCAAAAGTGCAGCCCGCGACAATCGAGGCCCCCAGCGAGAAGGCCCCCGCCACCTACTTGCCCAGACATAGTCTGCGCCGCCCGCCATGCGAGCGGAGGATGAGCTTCAAGCGCCGCATGCGGAACCCGTGCCTCCGAGCTGCCGCCACGAACCCTTCATGGCGCACCCGCTCGCACGCCTTGGACAGGTTCCAGCATCGACGTCATCGAGCGCTGCCCCATTGCTGCCGCCATGTTGGCGTCGAACGCCAAGAGCCAGACCGCATCCTCACGTGACTTGCCCTCGCCGCCGAAGAAGAAATCCCCGGGGTGCTGCATCTGCCAGTCCTGGGCGTCGCCCCGACGCATCTTCCCCAGAAGGCGGACCAGGCTGCCGAGGAGCCCGATGGGGCGCCAGCCCCCATCCGCCCTCGCCGAGAAGAAGATGCAGACCATGTCGAGCTGCCCCGGAACCCTGCACGTCGCCTCCAGCACCTGCAGCAGCAGCCCCAACGCGACGAGGCCGTCGTCGCTCGGGTGGCAGAAAGACTGGGGGTTGATGCAGTCGACCCCCGTAGCCGTGGACCCCTTGAATGCAGCTGCCGCCTTCCGGACGTCAACGGGCGAAGGGGCCTGGCCAACCTCCTCCAGGTCCCTGTCGGCGAGCGCCACGTCGAGATCCAGCGGCAGCACCTCGCCGCAGCGCCAGACTTCCTGGCACCCGTCTGTCAGCGCGTCGAGCGCGGCAGCGACCCCTGCAGGCCCCTCCGCCCCACAGGGGTCGGGCGCCCAGGCCAGCGGCGCCCCGCAGAGGCGACGCGCAGCCCCTGCACCGCCTTGCATCGCCCCACGCGCCCACTTGCGCCACAGCTAACTCCGCCTCTTGTCACAGCGGCCCTCGAGCTTCGCCGCGAGCCCACGAGCCTCCTGCTCGAGCGCCTCCAGTTGGCTGTAGCTGAGGTGGCTGAGCTTGTGGAGCTGGCGGTTCCACTTCCGCGCCTCCTCCTCCTCCCCTGACATCGGGTCGCCCCCCAAGTCCCCAGCCGTCAGCGAGCCCGCCTTGGCACGCAGGGCCTTCAGCTGATCCAGCGCCTCGGGGATCGCCGCCATCACGCGCGGTCTTCGGCGGCAGGCTAGCGTCTCCAAGATGGCGGCAGCAATGCGTCGCCACCGAGCAGACACTGGGCAGCCCCTTGGGCGGGGCCCTCCTCAGCAACACGTCCTTCTCCGCATACCGCGGCTCGGCCTCGCGCCCGGCGCAGAGGTGAGAGCCCTCTGGCGCCACGCGGTGCAGCCCGAGCAGGTCGGCCTCCACCAGACTGGCAAACTCCCCGCACAGCTGGCTCACCTTTCCTGCTGCCCCAGCTGCAAGCACTTCGCATCGACAGTGCCTTGCCGTCGTTGAGGCCTGCGGCGGCGCGGGGAAGGGGTCGCGACGCTGCAGGGCTGAATCCTGCCCCCCTCCCCCCGACGGGCGCTTTGGCTGGCAGCTCGGGCCCGAAGCTGGGCACCGCGACCGAGTCCGGCCCCCTGCCGCCGCCAGCCTTGCCGCCCCCCCCTGCGCCGCCTGACTGATGCTGCCACGGCGCCGCGCTCGCGCCGTCGATCGCGCCCGCCCTCCTGGAGCGCACCTGGGGGCGGACTCCAGCAGAACATCTGGCGACTGAGCCCAGCCCCTCCCGATGTGAACCTCGAGGGTGTTCCTGGGGGCTGGGACTTGCGCCCTCGCGCCCGCGCCATCCCGCCCCGCGTCGGCGCGGGGCCTTGGCGAGAGCCGCTCTGGGATCAGCGGTTCGCACGAGGTTAGGCCGATCTCCCGCGCGGTTCGACCCGCAGCACCCACGCCTCCACCTCGCGCAGCCGCGCCCAGCAGCCCCCCAGGCATGACATCCTCGTCGACCGCCAGGCCACAAACGACAAGGTCCTCGGCCGCGTCGCCGCGCAGGCCGTGGACGACCTCCGCCCAGCTCGTGCCGAAGTTCTCTCGCGCACGCCTCAGCAAAGCCGCGTCGACGCCGACTGGGGGCTGCTAGCCGACGCCCAAGACGCTGGCCAACCCACAGACAGAGGCACCCGACTCACACCTGAGCGCGGCTCTGACAGCGCCCCCCACTTGGCCAGGCGGAGGGGCGTCGGGGGCGGGCGGCTGCAGCGACTAGGCCCTCTACTGCACCGCCTCCGAAAACGCCGCGTCCGCCTCGGCGGCCCCCTGCCCCGCGGCGACACCCAGGTCTGCCAGCGCCGCGCGCGCTCGCTGCAGGAAGGGCCCCCAGGCAGGAAGCTCGGGGCGCGGCCCCACGGGCCGCTGCGTGGGCAGCTCCCTCGCCACCACGTGGACCAGCCTGCGCTCGGGGGCGCCCTTCTCGCAGAGCAAGAGCCGCACGGGCCAGTGCGGCGCCAGCGCCGCGCCCTGCCTGCTGCAGCCCTGCACCCTGCCGCCCAGGCCGCTCGAGACCACGAAGAAATCGATGTTCGAACCTGACCCGACTCGGCACGTGGGAACCCCAGGCGCCACGACCATGCCGTCGAGCTCCTGCGGCCAGCCCCGGGCCTCCAGTTCGCGGGGCTTGCAGTTCCAGTCGCCGCCGATGACGTAGGGCACCTTGGTGCAGGCAAGATACTCCACCAGCTGCCCTAGGACCAGCTTCGACTCCGCATCGAGGCCTTTGGCAGCCACAAGGTACACCGACACAACCAGGAACACACCTGGCACTCCGCAATTGACCCACTTCGCGATCATTCGGTCCCGTGGCAGCTTGGGCCCCCTGGGCGCACTGCACATCCTGATGTGCGCTCGCACTCCGATGCCCACACCGCTGGACAGGCCGCCCTTCTCGATGCGCACTGACCCGCTGAATGCCACCTTCCAGCCTTCTCTGCGGCAGGCCTGCTCCACTCCGGGCGCCGCGCCAGGGGCCACGCCCACCTCGTGTAAGAAGACCACGTCTGCGGTCGCCTCCTGCTGCAGCCAGCGCATCGCGGGACGTGGTGTTGGCGGTGTCCAACCGCCACGCTCAGACGTCACGCCGAGCCTGGGCCAACATCCTCTTGGCCTCGGCCGTCGTGCCCACGGGCGCGCTTGGCGACGGGGAGCTCGACCCCTGCGGCCTGACACGCCTCCTCGAGCTTGCGGCGGTTCTCGCTCTCGAGCTGGTCGGCTTGGGCAAAGAGGGCCATGTGGTCGTCGTCCGCGCCCTCGGAGCCCTCGCCGCTCCGCTCGCCGCCTGCAGCAGCAGTAGGAGGAGAACCTGCAGCATGCGGCCCCCAGAAGGCTCTGCCCCCTCGCCCATGGGCACGTCCCCGCTGGGCACCGCCGCCCGCTCGGCCTCAGCGATCTCGGCCTTGATGGCGTCGACCTTCCGCTGCAGGACCGCGCGCGAGGCCTGGAGTCTGGCTGCATCGGCTCCGTCAGCGGTGATGGTTCCGAGGGCCTCCAGGCCAGCGATCGCCTTAGCCAGCTCCACGCCGCGGGCCGAATTGGAGCCAGACGGCAAGCCAGCCTGCTCCATCCGCTTGGCCTGCTCGAGAGCCTCGCGGCCCTCGGCCTGCCGCTGGCGAGCCGCCCTCCTCCTCCTCCTCCTCCTCCTCCTCCTCCTCCCTCCTCCTCCTCCTCTCCTCCTCCTCTCTCCTCCCTCCTCTCCTCTCCTCTCTCTCATCCTCCTCCCTCCTCTCTCCCTGCCTCTCCTCCTCCACCTCCTCCTCCCCCGCATCCTCCCCCGCATCCTCCCCCGCATCCTCCCCCGCATCCTCCCTTTCATCTCGTATTCCTGAGAGGCTCACGCCTTCATTCGGCCTCTCTGGCCCAGCATGTGCCGAGGTCGCGTTCTGGGGAACGGCTGGGGCCTGCCGCCAAACAGACAGACCAGGAAACTAAACTCGCTCGTCATCAGCATCGTCATCGTAATCATCAGCAGCAGCATCAGCATAATCAGCAACATCACCATGGCTTGTCATCATAATAATCGCCAGTGCCATCATGAACATCATGATGCTGATCGCCAGCGTCAGTATCATCATCATCAGCATTATCAGCATCACCATCATCATCAGAATCATCATCATCACCATCATCAGCAGCATCATCGTCGTCATCAACATCATCGGTATCAGCATCATCATCAGCATCAGCATCATCAGCATCATCATCATCATCATCATCATCATCATCATCATCATCATCATCAGCATCATCATCATCATCATCATCATCATCATCATCATCATCATCATCATCATTCATCATCATCATCATCATCATCATCATCATCATCATCATCATCATCATCATCATCATCATCATCATCATCATCATCATCATCATCATCATCATCATCATCATCATCATCATCATCATCATCATCCGCATCATCATCTTTATGATCGTAATCATCATCACCATCATCATCCTCATCAGCAGCAACATCATCATCCTCAACATCATCATCAGCAGCATCAGCATCAGCATCATCAACCTCATCACAATCGGCACCATCGCCATCATTATCCTGACCATGGTCCGCCGTCTCCTCGTCGTCATGCTCACCCTTGCACCTCCTCGCCCCCCACCCTGGACCTCTGCTGCTTGGCAGCGAACATGAGGCCCCCCAGCTGCGGAAACCGCCGGGCGCCGAGGTCGTCGAAGTGCTCGTTCAGCGAGAGGTTGGACAGCTCCTGGCGGGGCCAGTGGGGGGGGGGGGGCCTGGCCGGCGCCACGGCGGCGGAGTAGAGGCGAGGAGGAGGAGGAGGAGGAGGAGGAGGAGGAGGAGGAGGAGGAGGGGGAGGAGAAGGAGGTGGAGGAGGTCGGGGTCTCATTCTCATGACCCTCTGCGTCCGCCACCGGGGACTTCTCGAGGAGAAGGAGGGGCAGGAGGAGGAGGGAGGAAGGAGAAGAAGGGGATTGGTGGGGGGGGGAGGAGGGGGAGGAGGAGGAGGAGGAGGAGGAGGAGGAGGAGGAGGAGGAGGAGGAGGAAGGAGGAGGAGGAGGAGGGGGAGGGGGAGGAGGAGGAGGAGGAGGAACCCAGGACAGGACGCACCCCACGCCCGCGGCGCGCCCCTCCGCCGGGGAGGTCGGTCCGCAGCCATCGTGGTTGTAGCCTGGCCGCCGCGCCGCGCGGGCCGCCGCCTGCCTGAGAAGACCCCGCGGCGCTCGGGCCTGCCGCCGCGGCCTGGCGCCCAGGGCAGACCGCGCGGCGCAGCACCTTGCGGCGGCCCGCGCGGGCCGCCTGGATTCTGCACCCAAGCCCGTGTCAATGCGACCCTGGCCCTGCAGGATCCTGCAACATCGGGCGCCCTGGCTGACCCCCATGTGCACTGACCCACGTCTCAAGGCTCCCGACACCAGGGGGCCAGGATTCCGCCCCCAGGGATTCCGCCCTTCTCCCTTGT